ATACAAATATGCATTTTATTTTTTACAACATACACTAGAACAAAGCACAGAAGCCCACGATTATAGATAGAGGGCCTAAGTGATAGGGCTGCTGTGCTATTCCCTATGGGTTTAAGGCCTTTATGCTTCCTAAATTTTTAAAAATTTTAGACTTATAATATTTTAGAATTTAGTGTTAACTAAAAATGAAATTAAGAGTTTATGGTGTCTTTGCATCAAAACTATATTAGCTAGGTGCATCTAACCCCCCTCATATTGCTATAGTTTGATTTAAAATCTGAATCAAAATATTTTATTTTGATCTTAAAAATAGTTATCTTACCTAAAATCATCATACCTAAAATTCATGGTTTTAAAATTATATGCTTAGGTGGTTAGCTAGCAGTGCACTACAAGTGAGTATAAGCCCATATGCATTTACAACCCTTAAACTTCCATCTAGGAGGATTATCCTGACATTCAAATAAGCTTTACAAACTCTAAAGTCTTTCCAAAATGATAGATCAAAATATTTATATCTTTAAATCTCTAAATCATATCTATTAAATTTTAAATCTAAAATAAATCTAATCTCCACTTTAATTGAAAATTTTCTCTTTGAAGATATAATTAACTATAGAGGCTTGTGATGGGGGCTATGGAGTAACATACAGAACTGTGAAATAATTTAGGGCTCTATCAATCCCTAACAATGCTTAGCTTTTCTTTGATATAAAAAAATTATAAAACCCTCACTTAACATGTGCAAGTATAGATGCCAACTCAAGTAATATGAGGATAGAGCAGAGTATCGATCCCACGAGGAAGATATGCTCACCTGTAAATACTATTTCTATCTACTAAAATCATAATAATTATCATACTCAATAAAAATAGTTACTATAGAGATTCAATAACTTAAGTAAAATTAGATAATGGTAATGATTACACAATATGTATACAATATTTTGGATTGATGAATGTAAATAACACATTTTTTTAATAATATCTTTTAATTGTGATGCTATTTAGAGTATATGCATTCCTAGATCTCCGTCGATCTTATAAAGCAAAGGATGTCCACTAACTTCCTATAATTTTATTATCTCCTTAAGAATTTAACATTTTTCATACCCTATGCCTAGGTATAACACATACTAATTCAATATGTGTCGTAATATCTGCCTCCTCCATCGATACCACACAGTACACCTAATTTTAACTACACATGGTAAATAAGTGCATTAAACTAAGATCTTGTAATGTTGAAAATATCATTTTAATCATTTAAGGAATAAGAAATTTCATTAGTAATACATATAATACATAGAGTTGAATTGAAGCAAAATTATTTTTATTAATAGTATGACATAAAGTAATTATAAGAGATATATATCACCTGAATGGTTCAATATATCTCTTATATACACCTTTTTACTTAAAGAATTGCTTCCATAAACACATGTTAAACACCCTACTAATGGTATCAAGTACTGCCCTCAATTCCCTTAATTGTCACCCTAAAGGAGTTTCAGAGAAGCACTCTAAATAATATTGAAATTATCTAAGTTCTTAAACTCTCTTACAAACATAACGCAATGACTATTTATAGGAAAATACATAGTAGGCATCTGGCACTACAACGCTAGAATGATCGACGATGCTGCTACAATTAAATAAATTAAGACCAATGCACTAATATTCTGGTTCTGGTGTCGTTCTTGCTAACATACATCAATAACTTGGAGATTAGTCGCTTTGCTGATAGGTTGTGTCCTTAGGAAGCTAAAACTGTTATATTATGGTGCTGCTAACTTTCGAACACTAAAGCACCAGAAGAGCAATTTTGGTGCCAAGGCATTATAGAGTGTGACAATGTGATACTAAATGATAGAGAATAGGGCACTGCAAATCTAAACTTCTAACTTTGTAGTGGTGTCAGCAGCGAATTTGGCATTGCAATGGAGATATTCTGGTGCTCTAGCAGTGCACTTGAAGGCGCAATGATGCTGATTTGTTCGATGTTGTCACACTAGATAATACTTAGAATTTTGTTTCTTTCTTCATATTTTTCATGTACATCATAATTAAAATAACATATTTTTACTAAAAATATAGAACATAAAATGCATATTATTTACACTTATCAAATTCTCCCCAGCCTAAACTCTTGCTTGTTCTCAAGCAAAAATAATTTTTAAAAATTCTAATTGAATAATTAACCAAATTAAAAGCTGATAGTTTAAAATTACAAAAATATAAGAGAATACATCACAGTCTAGAAGTAATAAAAAATGGACATTATTATAATTCTATTTAAAAAATATTAATTAGATATTCTTTATTATGCTTAGTTTGAATTCATAATTTATAGATTAAATTATAAATTTTTAAATTTTAAAGTGAATAATGTAGCTTAATGATTAGATATGTTTGAAGTTAAAATTAAAATCTCATTAGTTCTCCATCATTTGTAGTGGTTGTTTTATGTTATCTTTTAAAAATTTAAGTATAAGATTATAATCAGATTCTTCACCTTTAAGTGATACCAATTTTTGAATATACTCATTTATTCTTTTTCTTTTATTTTTTGCTTACTCTATTTATACATAGTTAATGATTTTGAATATCAATTGTTTTGCTTCAAACCCTTTTTATAATCTTAATGAGTTTATGTAAAGATTTAATAAGATGACCAATTCAAAATTTGGGTTGCTTATGACTTCTAATTTTAATATACTCATATAAAATCTTTAATTCTAATTATTCATCTTTATTCAAAAAATTAAAAAAGAAATGTGTAACTTATAATTTTAAATTAAAATAATAATTTAAATGATCTAAGTTATATAATTATTAGTTTCTTTTCCACTATATAAAGTATACACTACAGGAAAACCCCTTATTACCAAAATCCGCCAGAAATTTTATAAATCTGACGGAAAATATAGTTTTCAGCGCATGTTTCGGCGTATATTTATCCACCGTTTTAAGTCGCGTCGATAATTTATTTCCGGCGCAAGATATGCGCCGAAAATTTCTCCGGCGCAGTTTCCGACGCATTACCGGCGAAAAAATGGATTGTTGACGACGTAAAAAAACGTCTTAATTCCGGTGCCATATGTGCCGGTAATTAGCATCGCAGTATGCGCCGGACATTACCGGCGGTTTTGACGCCGTTGACGCCGGTGACGCCGGTATCATTTCCGACGCAAGCTACGTCGGTAATATTTCATTGAGTTTAAATACGCCGGCGCAATGTCCGCCGGTAACGTACGCCGGAAATGTTCCGCCGTAACGTGCGATGGAAATGGTTCAGACATTACTATATCGTCGGATGGGCCGGCGGAACTGGCGTCGGTAAGCTTACGGCGTATTTTGCGCCGGAAATGTCGTCGCAAGATTTTCGTCGAACAATTCCGCCGTTGCCTGCGCCGTATTACCGGCGCACAATTTTCCGCCGGAAAATCCGACGATAATCGCGTGTTTTCCCGTAGTGATAATTAGTGTTCATTTAAATTATAATTATTATTTTTATTAAGGTTAGTTAAATAATCAGAATACAAAAAAAAAATTATAGTAAACATGAGGGAAATTTCAATGAAATTTAAATAAAAAAATACAAACAAGAGTTAACACTACACATGCTTTCATATAAATGATAAAAATTGCATAAAATGTGTTAACTGAATATAACAAAACATAATATTGATTATAGGATAACTAGTGTACTAAGCATCATGCACAGCATATCTACTTTGTATCTTCTTAAATCTTCATGAACTTTATTATGAAATTCATAGAGTTTGTTAAAGATAGCAGAACATCATATGTGAAGAAGAGAAAAGGATTCTTCATTTTTCAAACATTCTTCTCTCTTAATCCTGGAGGAGGAATGCCTTTGCATGGTGCTAACCATTGCTAAAGTTGAAATTTCAAGAAGAGAAAGATATTACTATATTCAAAATTTATAAAGATTGATAGTTAAACTTCCAAAATGTTTTTTTTTTTAATTTTTAAGTGGGAGGAAATTTTAAAATTTAAATCTCTAAACCACTTAGTCCAAGCTCAGCATTATGGAGCTAATGGAACAGTTGTGGTGCTTCACATCTCCAAAGTTTTTTTAAAGGAAAATCAAACTACCCAACCTACACATTTAAATTATCAACTGGGACGCCTCCCTTGAAGCATTAAATTTATAGTCTTCTACCAAACTTGCCATGATTTTTCAATTTTGTTGGGGTAAATTATTTTTGTTCTTTTAATTAACTTCCATTATAATTTTTTTCTTTTTCTTTTAGGTTAACTTTAGTATTATTCAGTAAAGATCTAAGAGGTTTACTACAAACTAAAATTGCAAGCTGACATAACTGGGTCTCTAAATTTTTAATAGAAGCAACTTCATTTTACAATTAATTTTCTAACTGCATAACTACATCCTACAATACTATTTTTTATTTTCAAATTGATTTGATTAGCTCATGGAGGGTGTATAGACATAGGATTAACAATGGGTTATTGAGAATTATTTCAATTTAATCCTTGATTATTTTTCCCATTATTTCATTGATTACTACTACCCAAATTATTTGACTAATTAAAATTAGGATAGTTCCTACAACATAGATTATATACATATTTAAATAGGGAATATTTTGTCTTCCAATTATATTAACATCTTCTACCCCTTACATAGTATTATCTTTAATTGAATTTTGCCCTCCAACAAATTCAATTCTAAACCCTAAATTTACTCTTATTGTATTCAATTATTTAAATAATTTTACAACTTTTACAATCAAGGTTGATAAAGCATCAGATTCATAAATTCTAGTAACTATTTTTAGGATTTACCCTCTCAACAAGCCACTGGAAATTATTTACTAGAGATTTCTTCTATTAATTCATAGGTTTTCTCAAATGGCTTAGACATTAAGGATCCTCTAACTATAGCATCAATTATGTCTCTAAAAGATCCTACTAATCCATTATAAAATATTTTAATAATTAACTAATCAGGTAATGCATGATGTGGGCATTTTTTAAGCATTTTTTTTAAATCTTTCCCAACTCTCATAAATGGATTCTTCTTTAAACTGAGTAAAAGAAGTTATGCCATTTCTAAATTTTGCATTTTTTAAAAGTGGAAAATACTTAGCAAGGAACTTATGAGCTAACTCATTCTAACTAGTTATTAACCCTGGGGATAAAGAATTTAACAATATTTTAGCTTTATCTCTTAGAGAAAAATGAAATAATATAAGTTTAATAGCATCATCACTAACACCATTGTACTTAAATATTACACAAATTTCTAAGAAATTATCTAAATATAAATTGTCATCTTCTACAGGAGTTCCCCCAAACTGAGAGTTTTGAACTATTTTAATAATAGCTAGATATAATTCAAAATTATTAGCTTAGATTGTAAATATATTTATACTCTAATGAATTTCATCTACTAAAGGTTTTGCATAATTCTTAAGAAGTCTAGAATGATTTTCTCTAAATCATATTTAGTCATTTTCAAATTCTTTTGGTTTTTTTAAAAATTTTAGAAAGGGTTCTCTTACTTTCAAGATCAAATGAAAAAAGTTCCTTTCTAATGCTATAAAGCATGCAACCAAAAATATACAAATAAGCAAAGTAAAATAAAATAAAATAATATAATATAATATAAAGAGAAATATGTATGTCTAACTATGCAATTAATTAAATAATATTGTGAGAATTTTACATAAAGCAAAATACTTCCCCGGTAATGGTTCCAAAAACTTGATGGGAGGTATGGAGTAATCTATAGAATTGTCAAATGGTTTAGGGATCTATAAATTTCTAATAATGCTTAGGTTTTATGTAAATGTTTAGTAGTAGTAGTTTTTTTTTTTTTTTTTGAGGAATGCTAAGTAGCAATAAAATAAAAACACAAAACGAGCCTAGATACAAGCTAACGAGGGATCAACCATCTTTCAGTTTCTTCCTTTACAATTTGAACGAAGGAAGAAGGAAGGTTGCACTCAAAAAAGAAATCCCAAGCAAAATCAAATGATAAAGCTAAGTTAGCGCAATAATCCGCTAACTTATTACAATGACACCCAACACATTTAAAAATAACATTATTGCCATTACTAAAAAAATAAGAGGTCTTCATCTTCCAAGTTTTCTCTAGCTTTCTTAGGTTTGATATACAATTGATGAAGAAATTGGAGAACATTTTTAATATCACTTTCCACTATGAAACCTTTTGCTTCTCGTGTCCAACCTTGCATAATATCCTTCAAGGATTTGAAGGCTGAAAGTTCCATTTTTTCTATATCTCAATGTAATTTTTTTTGTCTGAAAGCAAAAACAAACCTTCCTTTGTCATCTATTACAACCCCTCCAATACCAGCCTCATAATTATCTTTAAGTACTGCATCCAAATTAATCTTCAACCACTCAGTTGGCATAGGATGCCAATAATCTAAGAACAGTTCTTCAGACCGATAAGCACCCCAGTGATTTGAGCGGTTTTTGTTTAACTATAAAAGATTAAAATTGAAACCGCAATCATGACAATGCTTTTTCCATTTTTTCCATGTTTCACCTTGCATCTATTAGTCTAGACAAACCATAATAATAATGCATATAACCTTGTTGTCATCACATCATTATCTGTTATCCTCTTAATTCCCTGCAAGAAATCTCTCCAATTATAGAAATCTAGAATTTTGAATCCACAACCTCTTAATACATTACTTACTTTCACCAGAATTAGACATTTAGAAGTGATATGATCCAGATCTTTGACCACACCACACCCCATAAGACATAAGCAATTACCAGAAATCTTTCTTCGAAAGAGAAACTCGTCAGTAGGGATAGCATCTCTACACAAATGCCATAAAAATAGTTCCAGCCGAGCACTAATCTTCAACTTCTTAATCCACGTTAACGTATCCCTTGTCATTACTTCTTTAAGGATATCTTCCATCAACAATGCTGAGATTGATTAACCATTCAATTGTAGCTTTAACTCCATGTGGTCTTGAATTAAGGTATTAGAGATCAGTACTCCTCCTATCAACCTCACAAGGTCTTCACCGAAGCACTGTCTAAGTTTTTTGAAGTCCCATTTGCCATCCTCTATGAAGTAGTCAAGAGTAAAATTTTCCTCAACAAAGCTTCCAACAAAACTATGCCATTTAAGTAGACTCTTGTCCAAAATCCATGCATCCTTCAATACATTAATGTTGGAACCATATGCTACTTCCATCTTACAAACTTTTAAGAGCTTTCCAACCACTTGTTATAATCTTCCATGAATTCGACCTTTAAACTCTTCCTTACTCCACCACCTTTCACCATATTTAGCCAACAAGTTTCTATTCAACAATGAATTGGGTTTTTCAACGAGATTCCATGCAAACTTTGCTCTAAGCGGCCCAATCCTTGTTAGTGCTGATTGAAGACCCCATCCACCACATTGCTTTGGTCTACACAACATCTCCCATGCCACATAATGCAAACCATGACTTCTATCCAATTTATTCCAAATGAAATCTCTACAAAGTTTTTCCAACTCCTGTAAAGTTCTCATTGGAATAAGAGAATGAGAGATTAGAAAAATCGGTAAAGCTAGAAGAGCAGTTTTTACCAAAATTAATCTTCCAGCTAACGAAATATATCTATTTCCCCAAACATTTAGTTTTTTCATAGTTTTATCCAAAAGCATTTGGAAATCAGACTTTTTTAATCTCCTTAGAGCAATTTTGATTCCCAAATACTCTAATTCTTCCACCATTTTGAATTCCAACATCTTTGATATTTGAATCTTCCTTCTCCTCAACACCGATTTGCCAAAAATCAAGGATGATTTTTGATGATTAATATTCTGATCGGTCCACTTGCAGCAGTCTCTTACAATGTTCCTCATCTTCTTAACATTTTTTTATTTAGCATCTGAAAACAATAACACATCATCTACATACATAAGATGTGTTATCCTAGGAGCTTTGGAGCAAATTTTGATTCCCAAGTCCCTTCCCCTGCTGTAAAAAACATTGGATAACAATTGAGAGCATATAATGAACAAAAATGGAGAGAGTGGGCATCCTTGATGAAACCCACATCTTCCCTCAATCCAATTCAATCTTGCCCCCTTGATCAATATATAAAATCTGGGATTTGACACACATTCCATAACCAGTCCAAGAAATCTGTCCAGGAATCCCAACTCCATCATCATCTTCTTCAAAGATAACCAACACATAATATCGTATGCTTGTTCCATATCCAATTTGATAGCCAAATACCCATTACAAGCCTTTGAATGCCTTAGTTTACTGAAAACCTCTTGAGCTAATAAAAGATGGTGAGAAATAGATCTCCCCTTCACAAAAGCCACCTGCTCTTCTGATATGATCTTCAGAATCACCAATAACATTCTATTTAAAATTACTTTAGCCACAATCTTATAAATAGGATTGCATAAATTGATTGGACGAAAGCCAGAAGGAGTTAAAGGATTGTTGGATTTAGGAATAAGCACAACCAAAGTGTCTTTCCAATCCTTACTCATCTTCCTTGTAGAAAAAAAAGTCTTACTGCTCTATAAACGTCTCCACCAATGATCTCCCAATAGCCTTTGAAAAATGAATATGTCAACCCATCATAACCCGGAGCTTTATTATTCCCTAACCTCATAACTGCCTCCTTAACTTCAACCACAGAAAGCTCCATTTCCAACAGAACCTTGTCATCTTCATCCAAAACCATCCACGGTTTCGGCCAGTTCTCCAAACAGCAATTTCTATCCCTCCATTTATCTTTGAAGAACCTGAAAAAAACCTCATCCACCTCTCCAGGATCTTCGGTGAGCAAACCTTCAGAATTCTTCACTTGAGAGACCCAATTAGCATTCCTCCTAGCATTGGCAAAGGCATGAAAAAATTTTGTGTTGGAGTCCCCTTCAACCACCCACTTCACTTTTGCTCTTTGCTTCCACCAAGTGTTCAAGCAATTGAGAATAACATTCAACTCTTTTACTTTAGATCTAAGTTGCCACAGATTTCCTTCATCCATCCAACCTTCCCTAGCTTCATCTTCTTGAAGTTGTAATATTTCAGTCTTCAACCTTTCCTTTTCATTTGAAAAGTCTTTCAATTTGTACTTACTCTAGTGATACCAATCTTTTAAAGTTCTATTACAGTTCTTGTTCAACACTTCCATGTCATCTCCCACATAGTTCTTCTTCCACCCATTAGAAACTATAAAAGATGAAGTTTTAAAGGACAGCCAAACATCCTCAAACTTAATGCACCTTCTCTTCCTTATAGTCACCTCAAATAATTTCAGCACTATAGGGCAATGATCTGAAGCCACTCTGGCTAAATGCCTCACCATCACAATTTGGATATTATGAAGAGCCAAAGAATTCAACAAACACCTATCCAAAAGTTCAAGAATCCTACCAACTCCAACTTTATTATTGCACCAAGTATATCTTGGACCAACCACTCCAACATCATGATAATCATTATCATTCATAAATTTGGACATTTCCAAGGAACCTTGAGAAAAAACAAACTTCCTTCCACCATTTTTGTCCTCTTGGGACAAAATGCAATTGAAGCCCCCACCAATAATAGCTGGAAGCTTCCTATAAGATTGCTCATGAATTCAATCCCATAACATTCTCCTTTTCTGAACCTCCTTGCTCCCATACACAGTAGCAATCATCTATATTCCTTTATTGAAGACATTCAGATCTCCTATCACACATTGATCTGAAGTCTTTGCCACAGAAAAGGAGGCCACATCTGCCCTCCATAAAATCATAATACCACCAGACAATCCTTTAGATGGAAGATTAAAAAAATCCCAATCAGAACCCATAATCCTCTCAAAGTCAACTCTATCAAAAGAGTTTATTTTAGTTTCCACCAACCCCACAAAGAATACTGTGTAATCTTTAATAAATTCATTCATATATAGAGAGGCTTCCTTCTTCTTTCCCCCTCTACAATTCCAAAAAGCAATAGATTCCATTAAGCCTTTTTGGGGGAACAACCCCCATCTTTCTTCCTACTACCCCCTTCACCTATCCTTCCATGCAGATTAGCTTTAATAGGCCCTAAGGATCTGAGTT